AGAAATTAATGGAATTTGTCAAAACTAGACCAACCTTACAAGGGATGCCAAAGGGAGCCCTTTCGACAGAGAAGCAACAACAACCAACAACAACTATGACCATTAACACACATGATGATATAACCCAGAAACCAACCCAGCTATGGAAGTATCCAAAATAAATAAGCCTACAAGATTGTAAACAGGGAATGAGAGACACCAACTGACAAATGAAGACAACTACAAACCAAAAAGAGGCAAAAAAAAAAAATCTGTGTCATTACAGAACTTCTAGATGGTAGGGAAGTCAAGATAACTACAAGATGGAATGTACTGTTCTAAACTTGGGAAGAAAACTATAAATCATAGGATAACCTCAAAGAAAAATAGTAAACCTTCACATCAAAATAAAAAAGAGGACCAGCATAAATACTCAGCAAATACTAAAACAATAGCAATGAAGGAAGATATAACAAACGAGCTCAGCATAGAAAATTATATGGAAGAAATCGACACAATGAAAAAGCGCATGACAAAAATGACAGCAACAAATTCATATTTGCTGATAACTACATATTTGGCAAGGGACTTATCTCTAAGATTGATGGAAAACTCCAATGCTTCAACACCAACAATTAAAACTCCAATGCCTCAACAATCCAATTGAAAAAATGGGCAGAAGACATGAATAGACACTTCACCAAGGAGGATATTCAGGTGGTCAGCTAAAAGATGCTCACAATAATTGGCCATCAGAGAGATGTAAATCAAAACAACAACGAGATATACCGTCTCACCCCAGCACTAATGGTAAGGTTCAATGAGACAGAAAATAAATGCTGGTGGGAATGTGGAGATATTGGGACTCTCATACCCTGCTTGTGTGTCTGTGAAGTGACACAACCACTGTGGAAAGCAATATGGCGATTCCTTAGAAAGTTGGAATTGGAGACACCTTTGGCCCAGCAATCCCATCACTAGGTATATATCCTAAAGAGGTGAGAGCCAGGATAGGAACAGATACATGCATGCTCATGTTCATCACACTGCTATTTACAATAGCAAAAAGATGGAAACAACCTACATGCCCATCAGTGGAAGAGTGGATGACCAAACTGTGGTACATACACATACTGGAATGCTATGCAGTACTAAAGAATAATGTAGAGTCTGCAAAACACTGCATTATATGGATGAACTTGGAGGACATTATGCTGAGTGAAATAAGTCAATCACAGAAGGACAAATATAGTATTAGTTCGTTGTTGTGGAGGGTCAAGGAAAGGTTTATATATGGAGGGAAACTTTCTTTGTTGGTTGCCAGGGGTGGGAGGAGAGGGGAGGGAACACCTCAAAAAAAAAAAAAATGCATTGACCCATGTCACTTTAGTTTTGTGTATTTCACTGTACATAAATTATATTTCAATATAATGCATTTAAAAAAAAAAAAGATTTATAGCCTTGGAAACTCAATGGAGTAATTCTGTTTTGTCCTATAGTGTCAGTATAAGTCAGAATCGACTAGATGGCAGTAGGGTTTTTTTTTTTTTGGTTTTGGTTTTGGTCATGAGGTAAACTTATTTGCATTGTTCACAGTGCTTAACACATGATGGCTTAATAAATACTTGTTGAATAATTAATATTCTTCTGGATTATAGGCTGATATGCATGACCTATATAGGTTGACTGTTGTCATATTAAGGAGTTCTGGTGGCATGATGCCTAAGGCATTTGACTGCTAACCAGAAGGTTAGCAGTTCAAATCCACCAGAAACTCCACAGAAGGAAACTGGGCAATCTACTTTCATAAAGATATATCACCTCAGAAACCCAAAGGGGGTTGCTATGATTCGGAATCAACTCCATGACACTGAGTTTGATTTTTTTGTTTGTTTGGTTGGTTGTTGTATTATCAATTATAACTGGTAATTGTACTGGAAATATTTACTCTGGTAAAAAATCACGGCTGTAGTCTTGTGTATCTTTAAAATTAAAAATCCTTTCTTTGGATATTGATGTAGAATATGTCTTCTACTGCACCAGTCCCTGACGAAGGATATCATGCTAGGTAAAGTAGAGGGTCAGCAATAAAAGACCCTTAACAAGATGGATTGACATAGTGGATGTGGCAATGGGCTCAAGCATAGCAATGATTGTGAGGATGGTGTGGGACCAGGCTATGTTTCATTCTGTTGAACATAGGGTCACCGTGAGTTAAAACTGACTCAGTGGCACCTAACAACAACACTGGACCACAAGGGCATATGTTGCATATGCTTTTAGAATGTTTCTTTATGGTTATAAATATACCATGAAGTGTCAGTGTAGTATAAAATCAAATTGGAAATAAAATTGCATCTCTTAATTAAATTTCAGAAATGCACTCTTTTCAAATGTCAGTGATGTTATCATTCGCAGCTAATTATGTTACAGAAACTAAATGAAGCTCTGCAACTCCTTATGCTATGTAAATGATAATTGTGGAATCAGAAGATCTTGTGTCAAGAAATAAAATTGCTTTTAATGAGCTGTGAAAAGAGTTTTTTATAAGTTTGTAATTTATTTGTCAGTGCAATATGTTACACACTAAAATAAACATTTTCATCTTTTTTCTAAATGAGGAAAAAATACATCTCTTTCATAAATACTGATGTTTTCAAGAAAAAATAAAGATATGAGACATTCCATTCTTCCATTAAGCTTCTAATACTTTTATTCCATTGCTTAAAAGAAAAACTTTGGAATTTAAAGAAATTCTAGCTCTTTATGTATGTTGTTGTTGTTGTTTGCCGTCGAGTTGGCCCTGACTCATAGCGACCCCTCCTTGGGTTTCCGAGGCAGTATCACTATGGAAGTAGGATTGCCCAACCTTCCTTCCCAGGAGTGGCTGGTGGGTTTGAACCGCCAGCCTTCTGGTGAGCAGTCAAGTAGCCTAGCTCTTTATGTATAGGGATTATCTTTTGTTTTCCATTTTTGTTGTGTGAATTTCACACAATTCAAGAGAACCTAGAGACAGCATTTGTGTTTTGTTAGGGAGACAACTAGACCATGCACCATTTTTCCTAGCACTTCTTTAGCTTTACCTTAAATGTTGAGAAAAAAAGAAATCAAGTCCTATAGCTAAGATTCAATCTCATCCCAACTCACCCCTTCTTTCTTTATTTTTTTAACTTTTTATTGAGATTTGGATAAAAGTTTACAGAGCAAATTGGCTTTCCATTCACTAATTCATACACATTTTGTTTCATGATATTGATTGCAATCCCCACAATGTAACATCACTCACTCTTCCCAACTCCTCCTTGTGTTTATGTTTTTATTTTTCCTTCTTTCTTCTTTCCTTTTCCTTCTTTCCTGCATTCTGAGCTTTATCCCTGGGCAAATGCTGCCCTTTTGATCTCATATGGTTGATTGTTCTAAGGAGTGAATACTTCCCTGATGTTACAGTTTACCGTATAGGGCTGTCTATCATTTGGCTGAAAGTTGAGCCATGGGGGTGAGCTCAGGTCCTAGCTTGAAGGGCAACTAAGGGACATAGTCTCAGGGATTCCACCAGCCTCTATCAGACCTGTAAGACTGGTCTTTATTATTTTGAGTTAAATTGCATATTTTTCTCCCACTCTATCCAGGACTTTGTACTGTGTACCTTTTCAGAGTAGTTGGTAGGGTAGCCAGACTTGACCTGGTCATCTGGTCAGGGTCACGGAGGCTCAGGTTCATGTGGTTCACTAGTCCTTTGGACTAATTGTTTCCATGCACTTTGATTTTCTTCACTCTTCTCTGCTTCGGATGGTGAAAGACCAATACTTGCATCTTAGATAGCCAATCACAAATTTTTAAGACCCCCGTCGCTACTCACCAAAGCAGGACGTAGAACATTGTCTTTGTGGGCTATGTTATGCCAATTGATCTTGATGTTCCCCAAGACTATGGTTCTGAGCGCCAGGCCTAGCACCTCATCCCCTAAAGCCAACTTGCCCATTGTTTAGATGGAAAAGCTGACATTCAGGAAAACGTGATAAAAAGATTGAGAAAATAATGTTTAAAATGGAATTAAGCCACTAGGGAAGAGTTTTGCAGTTTTATGTTAACCCATAGTAAGTTAGATAGGTTTATGCTCTTTTTTTTACAACAAAACTTGTATAATATGATTGTTGTTGCCACTAGTCAATTCTTGTTTGTGGCTCAACATTTTTAAAAACTACACCATTAAGGAAGAATTTATATACCATACAATTCACTGATTTTAAGTGCTCGATTTAATGATTTTTAGCAAATTTATAGCATCATGTAATAATCACCACTATACTATACAGTTTTAGAATATTTTCATCACCCCTGTAAATTCCCTGTGCCCACTACTGATCTACTTTCTGTGTATTAATTTGCCTTCTCAGGACATTTCATATAAATAGAATAATGCCATATGCAGTCTTTTGTGTCTGGTTTCTATTACTTTGCAAAATGCTTTTGCAGTTTAACGTAGCACGTATCACAAATCATTTTCAAAAATGAAAACTAAAATACAATAGCTGTTTTCCGCTTGTTAATATTTAACTAGATAGAAAGTAAGACTGTACAACATTTAAATTCACCTTTCTTTAAGAAAGTTATCTTGTGTGCTTTACATGGAGTAAGATGATTGTGCTATAAATCATAGTCACAGATTATTGGCCAATTGACCTCTAAGAATGATTTTAAATTTTACCAACAGCAGTTCATTTGGCATATATATATATATATATATGTCTTCTGTTTTTATATATTGCAGCAAATTAGAGCAGTAAACAATTAGTAAGCAAAATTGTTGCTAGGAGACCACATCATATTTAGATTTGCATGAATAACTTTCAATTTCCTCCTGAAAATTTAATTAAAGTTACACAACATATGGAATGGTTAACACCTGATTTTTCTGAAAACCAGTTTGAAAGAAAGATCACAGGCTGCTATGGGCTTATAACTGTGAAACATTTGAAAGTTACAGAATATTCATTATGAATGTAAATTTTTATACTTACAAATTATCCTCAAGTCTCTTCAAGGAATCCAAAACTAATGAATGAACACTATCTAAGGAGCAAGATCCAAAGCAATTTAGAGCTGGGAGATATCTAATTTTCATAACCCAGTCATTATGTAGCTTCCTTTTAACACTGAGAATTAAAAAAGAAAAAAAAAAGTTTTGTTAGGCACATAAACTAGTGCTGAGTTTTTATTTGGTGTGTCATTTTGACTTTAAATTAATTGCAACTCTGAGCTGCAATACAGCCTAAATGTATAATATGGTCTCATGTTTTATACCACATTTTAGTTGTTTAACTAATTTTTTATAAATTATGCAGGAATTTAAATGATAAAACAACTTTAAAATATTATCTATCGAATTTTGCACTATAGACTTGGAATTTAAGGAATAAGCAAGAAGGATCCTATTCCAATATTGGCATCAGCAGCCTTTTAACTAATTGCCATTGAGCCAATTCCAACTCATGGTGATAACATGTGTGTTAGTACAACTCTGTTCAATAGGGTTTGCAATAGCTGTGATCTTTTGGAAGTAGAGCTCTAGGCCTTTCTTCTGCATCACCACTAGGTAAATTTAAACCACAACCTTTCAGTTATCAGCAAGTACAAATCATTTGCACCACCCAAGGACCTACTATTAGCATTTCTTTACTCAAAATTCTTACATGAAACTGGAAGTAGACATCTTTATGGTATTACGTTTACGTGTGAACAATGGTACATTTATTTCCTCATTCATGATTCATTGAGCACCTGCCTATTTAAAGTACCAAGGACATAAAGATGATTAAGGTAAAATTCCTATTTCCTATGGACCTTGGATTCCAGTTGAGGAACGGACATGTTTTCAACTCATTGCAGGGAAGTTCTACCAAACCAAATCCACTATCATTGAGTCAATTCTGACTCACAGCATTCAGTCCATGTATGCCTCAGCAGCAAATAAATTTTTTACGTAATTGTAAATTATCCACAAGAACCAATGTGAATTAATATATACTTAACTCTATGCAGATTCCAAAAATTCATCATATTCCTCAAATGTTATTTCTGATTCATCTATTTAATGGAAATGAAGTGAAAAACCACCATGGAATTTTCTGACAAGTGGTACATATCTCAGTAAAGAGAAGATTACTATCTCAGTATCTATTCTGAGAACATATCATAATTAGAATGAAATGCTTGATGTTATATACACCAACACATAAATATTGGGAAAGTCTCCCATCATAGTCTAATACTTTGGTGCAACTAAGTAAATCTGAATATGTGTGGAGGATATAAAATGGAGCCAGATAATTAGTTATTATAACATTCTAAGGTCCAGCAATGGAGTTAGACTTAATTCTATTGTTATTATAATCGTACTGAGCTCTTAATTGCATATTCTAACATTGGGAGGAAGGTTGGGCAATCCTACTTCCGTAGTGATACTGCCTCGGAAACCCAAGGAGGGGTCGCTATGAGTCGGGGCCGACTCGACGGCACATAACAACAACAACAACAACAACAACATTGGGATAAAATACTTGCTATACTAATGATGAAGTATCATGCTGTATATTTTTATGTTTGGTTTTATTATTATTTAAACAAAATTGTCATTTTACAAAATTAAGAAAGTAGAAAAACATAAAAAAAGAAAATTGGACTTCTGGTAAGATGGAGAAATAGACAGACAAGCTACACAGATCCTCTTCAACAAAGAAAAGAGACACCAATTGACAGCGATACAGAAGATAATCCTGAGCTTTGAAAGAAAGTATACAGAAGTGGATTAGGCATCAACTAGTGGAAAAATCTGAACAAAAACAGTTAGTACGGAGACAGTCAGAGCAGCTACTGTGATGGGACCAACAGCCTGAATATTGCCAAGTGGTGTTGGGACCTGAGAATTGATCTAAAGATCAGCTCTGGTCACCAAGGGCTTCAGGGATGATTGTGACTGTGCTGGTGGCCTATGACTAGGAAGGGAAACAGCAAAGAGAGAGACAACCTGAGCTGTAGACTTTCTGCTGTCCAGAGGGAGAAGCAATTTTGATTGTTTACAAGCAGCAGCCATTCTGGATATTTAAAGTGACCAAAGGTGCAGCCATTATGAATGTTTACAAGCGGCAGCCATTTTGGGTATTTAAAGTGATGGAGGGTACAGCCATTTTGAATCTTTACAAGTGGTGGCCATTTTGGATTTTAAAGTGACAGCATTCTCATTTGGATTCCAGGGACCCAAGAATAGGCTTTGTTTGCCAAGCATGGCAGGGACACACAGGAGGCAGACAACAAGAAAGGAGACAGGTGGTGAGTGTATAAGTGCTGCCAACTAGTGAATAGAGAGCACAGCACAGTACCCTGCTTACATAGATAATATACAAAGAAAATGAAAATTGTGGGCAAATCACTCCAACATACAATCACCAATTAAATATAAACACAAAAACATCACAATGCCTCAGAGACAACAGAGCATCACTGTGCACACACACAAAAAAGCAAGATAAAGCAGGAGAAGCAAGGGACCGGGATACAGACCCAAAACACATCGCTGAGGAAGATGTAGGATTGGAACTCCCTGATAAAGAATTCAAAGGAATTATATTTAGGTATCTTCAATGAATTGAGAGACAGATCAAGGAAAACACTGACAAAATTGAGGAAAACACAGAGAAAACCCTAGGACAATTTCAAAAGACAATACAAGAACAAAATGACAAAATAAACAAAAAATTAGAAATGATACAAAATCTACAGATAGAAATCCAGAAGATTAATACTACATTTTCAGAAACAGATGACATTGAATGGGCAAAGGAGTAGAATTGAATCAATGGAAGACAGAATTAGTGAGACTGAAGGCAAATACCTCGACACTTCTTTAGAAAGTGATTAATCAGAAAAAAAGATCAAAACAAAATGAAGAAAGCCTAGGGTTCATGTGGGATACCATCAAAGGAATAATCTACATGTAATCAGATTCCAGAACAGGAAGAGACAAAGAAAACCACAGAAAAAATTGTTGAAGATTTGTTGGAAGAGAATTTTCCTGCCATCCTGAAATATGAGAATATATGTATTCAAGAAGTCCAATGAACCCCAAAACAGGATAGACCCCAAAAGAAAATCACCAAGATGTATCATCATCAAACTCACCAAAACCAAAGACAAAGAAAGAATCCTGTCAGCAGCATGGGAAAAACAAAAAGTTACCTACAAGGGGCAACCAATAAGACTAAGCTCAGATTTTTCAGCAGAAATCATGCAGGCAAGAAGACAGTGGGATGGTATATATAAAACCCTGAAAAAGAAAAATTTCCAACCAAGCATTGTGGACCCAGCAAAACTGCCCCTCAAATATGATGGTGAAATTAGGACATTTCGCAATAAGCAGAAATTAAGGGAATTTATTAAAACCAGACCAACCTTACAGGAGATGCCAAAGAGAGTCCTTTGGACAGAGAGGCAACAACAGCAGACAACAACTGACCATTAACAAACATGGTGATATAACTCAGAAACCAATCAAGCTATGGAAGTATCCATAGTAAATAAGCCTACAAAATTGTAAACAGGGAACCAGAGACATCAATTGACAAATGAGGACAATTGCAAGCCAAAAAGAGTGAAAAAATTTTGTCATTACTGTACTTCTAAATGGTAGGGAAGTCAAGACAACTACAAGATAGAATGGACTGATCTAAACTTGGGAAGAAAACTATAAATCGCAGGGTAACCTCAAAGAAATATGATGACCTTCACATCAAAATAAAAAAGAGGACCAGCACAAATATTTAGCAAATACTAAAACAAGAGCAACAAAGGAACTGATAACATGATTCATAAACAAAATGAGCTCAGCACAGAAAATTACATGGAACAAAGAAGTCAGCACCATGAAAAAGCACATAACAAAAATGACAGCAACAAATTCATACTTGTCAATAATTACATATCTGGCAAGGGACTTATCTCTAAGATTTATAGAAAACTCCAACACTTCAACAGCAAAGAAATTAAAAATCCAATTGAAAAAATGGGCAGAAGATACGAATAGACACTTCACTAAGGAGGATATTCAGGTGAATAGCAAATACATGAAGAGATGTTCATGATCATTGGCCATCAGAGCGATACAAATCAAAACTACAATGAGATACCATCTCACCTCAGCACTGATGTCACGGTTCAGCGAGACAGAAAATAACAAATGCTGATGGGGATGTGGAGGGATTGGGACTCTCATACACTGCTGATGGGACTGTGAAGTGATACAACCACTGTGGAAAGCAGTATGATGATTCGTTAGAAATCTGGAATTGGAGGTACCCTTTGGTCCAGCAATCCCATTACTAGGTATATATCCTAGAGAGGTGAGAACCAGGACAGGATAAGATACATGCACACTCATGTTCATCACAGCACTGTTTACAATAGCAAAAAGATGGAAACAACCTACATGCTTATCAATGCAAGAGTGGATGACCAAACTGAGGTACATACACACAATGGATTGCTATGCAGCACTAAAGTATAATGTAGAGTTTGCAAAACACCACATAACATGGATGGACTTGGACGACACTATGCTGAGTGACATAAGTCAATCACAGAAGGGCAAATATAGTATTAGTTCATTGTGGAGGGTCAAGGAAAGGTTTATATATGCAGGAAAACTTTCTTTGTTGGTCATCAGGGGTAGGAGGGGAGTGGAGGGAACACTGAAAAGAAAAAAGCATTGACCCATGTCACTTTAGTTTTGTGTATTTCACTGTACATAAATTATATTTCAATAAAATGCATTTAAAAAAGAAAGAAAGAAAGAAAATTAAGATCACCTCTATGAAGTCCCATAGGAGCTCTGGTAGGGTAGCGGTTAAGGCATTTGGTTGCTAACCAAAAGTTTGGTACTTTGAGCCCACCATACTGCTCCCTGGATGAAAGATAAGGCAGTCTGCTTCCATCAAGATTTACAGCCTTTGAAACCCAGTGGAAGTCACTATGAGTCAGAATCAACTCAATGGCAGTGAGTTTTTGGTTTTCTATTAAGTCCCATAGCAAAGACTATGGATTCACACTCAGTCTTTTTCTAAGTAAGAATATACACACAGGGACTCACACACATATTGAGCAG